ATTGAGGAAGACACAGACCACCCATAGGGCTGAGAGGGGAATTTTTTAATATAAATTCCTACCATTTCAAAAGATGTAAGACACAATTTTCTGGTCAAACAAAGCAATAGAAACAGAAGAGCTGTGTTGTTTAATTTAACAGGTCTCTTTAAAGCTATCTCCATTTTTCTATGACATACAAAAAGATGGGGCAGGCTTTGTTTGGCAGCATTATTTTATTTATTGTTGCCGTGATTGACTCTCAGATGGAAATATGGATTTTAATATGCACAAATATTCCCAAGAAAAAAATACACATAAACTTGTATTAATTGCTATTAAGACAAAAAGCCAGTTGTTTTGATGCAGTTCCATCTCCCATTTTATAGCATTAAGAGGAAATTATACACAAGAAAGCCTGTGCTACTATAGTGGAATGCACAGATCTTAATAGCTGCACACAGAGATTTCTGATATTTGGGAAAATGAGTTTATTTCCCATTAATTGAGGAATATAGTTCTCTAAGACCACAGGACTGGAACACATGGATATGGCATCCTATGTCCTATAGATCTGCTAATCTGCAACTGCAAAATGTCAGCTTGGCCAAAGCCTATAATTGAAAACATATGGATATTATGGATATGCCTGTTTCTTAACCCACTTTGTAGTTTAACCTTACCTTATTATTCATTAAAACCCATCATTACTTTTACATTTCCTTTAATTTTGCAAAGCCAATTAGGAGTAAAAATTGAAAGCAAGTATGGAGTGTGCCTCCTATGATTAGAGACCCCAAATCTGAGTTTACATGTTACTCACCTTTGCCTTCATACAATCTATGGCTGGCATGCCTCAGAGTTTAAAGGGCAACAAGGTCGCCTTGTGCTCTGGCTTGAGGAATGGAATCATCCATTAATGGAATCACCCACTGTCACCCTTAATCTCCCACCCAACAAAACAATCTTTTTTTTCAAAAGGGAAGAGGCAAATCTCCATAACCCACCAAAGTCTAATTCTATAAAATATAGCAATGTTCTTCCAATATCTATATGTTATATTAGCATGCAATAGAGATCTGGAAGAACTTTTAGACTGCATCACAGTTCATCTTTACCTAACATAAGTTACTTATTACAAAAATATTATAGAAGATAACCAGCAGGAATTTATTAAAAAGAACCTGAACTTGCCCAAAGACATTATATATTAAGAGCCACTATCACATCTGGTGAGACTAGTACGTATCAAAGCAACTTTGAAAAAGTTTATGGGTACTGTAAGCAGATTGCACATTTCTGTCATCTAGTTGGACAATCTGGCTTGATCTCAGAAAGGTAACGAGGCTTATACCTGGCTAGTATTTGGATCTGTTTTGTGCTTTTAAATCAGCCTCGAGTCCTCGTGACTGGCTGGACAAGTCCCTGTAGTTTTCTCGGCAACATTTTTCAAAAGTGGTTTGCCATTGCCTTCTTCCTAGGGCTGAGAGAGAGGGACTGCCCCAGAGTTACCCAGCTGGCTTTATGCCTAAGGCAGGACCAGAACTCACAGTCCCCTGGTTTTTAGCCTGGTGTCTGTAACCACTATACTGGCTCTCTAGTACTTGGACGGGAGACAAGAAATTCTGAGACTGTACAGACTGGAAGTTAAAATAAAATCCTGAAAGAAAGGCAATGGCAAGCTATTTGCACAGCACACCAAAAACCAGAAAAAGAGCTTGATTCATATATAATTTGAACAAACACAGTCCAATTTTACTGAAATTCCCTCATGGTTACTCATTTTATTCCAAAATCTGCAATCAGCAAGGAGAGAAATAATACTCAAAAGTGATAATAGAAAGAGTTAAAAAAAAACCCATTGACTAATGTTAATGCTAATTGGAATCCCTTTTTGGACTTTTTGTGTGAAACAGAAAAAACTGAAATCATGATGTATGGATTTGATAATTAGTAATACTAGTAGAAAATAGAAAAATGGATCTTATGTTGTAATCTTAGAGTAAGAGTTTAATGTAAGTTTTACTTGTATCTGCTATAAAAGAAGTCAGAAGTAATTCTTTTTTGTATTTATTCTTTTTCTTTCTGCGCTCTGTTTTCTTTCTTTTTCTCTATTCTTTTCTCTATTCTTTTTCTTGATTATTAGTTCTTTTTAGATTTTATCTTTCTCTTTTAAAATTTAGTAAAGTTGTTATAAAAAAAAAAAAGAGTAAAGGAAAACCTTACAGGAATATTTGTTATATACAGTCAAACTGAGTTTAGGAGAAAATGGAGATTTCAAAACTAACTAGGGCTCTAAAGGCTGCAGATACACCTGATGATAAAACCTGGTAAATGTTTGGATATATTAAGGGATTAGCAATGATGTTGAGGAATTCTACTTGCATTATAGGAAAATGATATTCTAGGAAGGATAGAACATATATTCATATAACTGGTTGTAACATATTATTCTGATCTTCAGCAGAATATACTAGATAAAGAGAAATTGTCTGGGAAAAACTGGTTTAAATCCAGAACAATTAATCTTTCATTTCATCCCTTATGAGACTACTGCAATTCATTATTTTGACTTTATATATGCCACGGTAATGACTCTTGAACTCCAACTGAGCCATCTTAAGCAACAGCATTAGGCTACAGTACACATTCATAATTTTACATTTCCTTGATGATTTTGTCCTTCATATTAGAAACAATTTTAATACAAACTGATTCAAAATTGTTAATATAAATACGTTACCTTCTTCTATTGCATCCTTTGATTCCTTAAATTGACTTGAGCAGTGAGGGAACGCAGACAAATTTATAAGCAGCTGAAGTAGCAAAACATAAAAAAATAACATACCCTGATGCCTGTCAAGAAAACATTAATAGATTAGTCACTGCAGACCTAATAAAAGGACTAATCTGGTTCTAAGAATATCACCCACAAGTCAGCACAAGTCAAATACAATGAACGCTACATTGGAAACAGGTTATAGGACTCCCACAAACTAGCCTAACCTGTACAACCATTGTGGTTTCATAAGATAAATGAATTCCCAGAAATTGCACAACTGCACAAGAATCAGAAGGAAAGAAGTAATATTATTACTGAAGAGAAAGACAGGGTTACACATGCTAATCGTTGGTACACCCATCTGTTAGCACATTTCCTTTGCATGTAGAGCTTTGCATGGGGAAGTTGCCTGGCTCACAAAATTCCATTCACAGAGCAAAAGATACTGAACTACAGAGATGAAAGGACATATATGGCATAGCAGAAATCAGCATTTACTGAAGATAGTAACCAGAACCCACACAACAAGTTTAAACATAGCTAAGAACTCTGCCCTGCCAAGGGGCTGACTGATTTCCCTTCTTTCAAAAATACCCTGGCCTCATCATACCCAGGTGCTGCAAAGCACTTTCATAAGAGACTGAACTGGACGGACCACTGCTCCCCAAGCACCTTTGGACTAGCTGCAATTACAACAAGGTTTTTCGAGGGCTGGCTGGCGGGTTCACAAAAAGTTGACTACATCAGAGCTGCTTTGCGCGAGGGAAACTGATCCCCGCTGAAACTAAGACTTAGCTACGCCCACTAATAACTTTCGAGCTCTCTTTCTCAAGATAATTTCGTTTTCGGCCAAACGTCGCCGCAAGAAACTGATTCGGCAGGGCAGCCTATACCTCGAACAAGCAGGACATAGTAAAGTAGGCAAGCGCTATAGGCGAGCGAACGAAAACACCTTTCGGCTTAAGTCACACTACCCACCCGCCCTGTCCTAATTATTGAGAAACAGATCAAGCAATCAGACGGGCACAGCAAAGCCCCAGAAAGACCTTTCACTGGAGAAAGTTTATTTCCGCCGCTCCAGGAAATCCCACGGTGATTTTCCTTTTGCTCACCTTCCCGTCCCTGAACGGCCTCTCCGAGCGGGTACGGCGCCTTCGCGTTCACCTACCTGTTGCGTTCAATGCGCAAATGTTAGCACTCTCGTCCGCGCCGCGAAGGCATCGTCTCTCCCCCACTTCCGAGAGTTCCCCGGGAGGCTGAGAGGGGCTGAGATCATATGATGTTATGACTGCTGCCTTTGTAACCGCCCACCTGAATTCCGGAAAAGAGGACTCAGCTGCGGAAGGGACCGCATATTTAAATGTTCAAATCAGCTCGCAGTCTGCGTGCTGAACGGAGTTTTACTTTACGTGTTCAGAACTGACTATCTCCTGGGAAACAAAGCATTTTGCGGTCCTTGTGTCTCTCTTTGCGTAACGCGTTGGGCATACGCTCGTCGGAATCCGAGAAATGAGGAGAGGAAAGTTGGGTTTAGGTGGCATTGTGTTGCGATTTGGTGGACCGCAATTGCAAATAAGTTTAAGAATCATTCAAAATGTTGTTGTACAGTTGCAGAACCTTCCTATCTACTATCTGAAATAAAGTGCGATTTTATTTCTACTTCACTCTATAATAATTTGACTAGTAGTGTTGGTATGGCAATTTAACTTTTAAATCTAGGATGAATTCTGGCATGTAATGCTGCTTGAGGAACTATAAAATCTGGTTGGCACAAAGCTGCTGGAATGCTTTGGCACTGTTGGACTAGTTTTTGCTCCTGTGAAAATGTTTTATGAAAAATATGAAATAAGCTGCTATAAAATTTTCTTGATTCCATCAAATCTTCTGGAATTACTAGTCCAGCTGAACAGAGCACTAATACACTTATTTCCTGTACAAATTAAATTAGTCCAAAGACTGGAAATGCTATTGTCACATACTGAATTATTTACATGAGCCCTGATAAGATGAGCATGTGAGGCCTACACTTTATCCTTTGACCCACTGAAAATTTCATCCACAAAGTTGCTTTAATTGTGATTAAGGGTGAGTGTACACACAAGAGATAATGACATTTACAAATATTGTCTTTAGTGCAACTTTGTTGAATTACACAATACTGCTAGACTTGCTGAGTCAAATGTATTATAAAGCAGATTTAAAATAGAATATCTGTAGCTCAGGGATGAACTGTGGAGTCCTTGGTGCTCTCCGAGCTTGGTTGTTTGCTTGCAGATGTTTCATTACCCAACTAGGTAACATCATCAGTGCACGTGAGTGTGGGGTTTGCTCCCTGTTTATATACAGTAGCTTGCCCTGCCAGTGTTGCTGGGGGTGTGGTTTTTCTCCCTGGTTGTTCCTTGATTAGGGTATTGTTTTCTGCTTAATTGTTTGTCTGGTGTTAATCCCTGCTTATCTGGGTGTTGGCTGCTGGAAAGGTTGTGTTCTGGTCTTTTTGTTTCCTTCTTACTTTTTTTATTGTCTCTTTTGAATGATGTGTATATGTGGTTTATCTCTATGGGTTTATTGATGGCTAATTTGTCTGAATGCCAAGCTTCCAGGAATTCCCTAGCATTTTTGGATTTAGCTTAGTCTAGGATGCTCATAGTTCCCCAGTTGAAACTATGGTTGAGTTTTTTTTTATTTATTCTGGCAAAGTCCCAGAACCAGAAGGCCCCCAAACCCAAAGCCACTCTTGTCAGGGTTCCGCTGAAACCTATTGTTCCCCACCCAGGCCCCTTCAACCCCCAGACACTTGGATAGGAGATCAACAGCATTGCTTAATTCACTGGGGTGGAGATGTACAACTTGGTATTATCAGCATACTGATGATACCTTACCCCATGGCGACAGATTATCTCACCCAGTGGCTTCATGTAGAAGTTAAATAGAAGCAGAGAGATTACTGAACCCTATGCCACCTCACATATTAGGGGCCAAGAGTGGGATCTCTCATCCCCAATCAACACTGACTGATACTGACCCCAGAGAACGGAGTAGAACCAGAACAATACAGTGCTGCCCAGCCCCAATCCCCAGAGCCAATCCAGGAGGATACCACGGTCAATGGTATTGAAGGCTGCTGAGAGGTCCAGTAGAGCAAGGATGGATGCATAGCTCTTTTCCTGCTCTCACCAGAGTTCATCTAACAGTGCAACCAATGCCAGTTCCATCCCATACCCAGGCCTGAATCCTGACTGAAAGGGGCCCAGATAATGTAAATTAAAGAAAGGATGATTAAGAGTGTAAGAATAATCCTTAGAGTACCCCAGTGGAGAGGACAATTAAGGTCTTGGTGGAAAAAAGGCTTTATATGTTCTTGGACTATTGCAATATGCTCTACATGGGACTGTCCTTGAAGACTAATTGTGAGTTACAACTGGTCCAGAATGTGATGGCATGAGTAGTTATGTATGTACCTTGGTTCACCTAGGTAACACCTTTTCTCTGTGAGCTGAACTAGTAACCAATTGGCTTACATGTTGAATTCAGGGTTCTGGTCATCATCTATAAAACCCTTAATGAGTCAGGGCCTGGTTATCTGTGAGATACTGTAACCTCTCCCTAGTTATGTCTGCTGTCCCTCTAGATCAAGTAGAATGGACACATTCCAAGTCCCATCAATAAAATTATGTAATCTTGTCACTCACCTATCAGCAAATGTTGGTATTAATTATAAAACCTTATATGGCTTGGCACCTAGGTATCCTCAGGCCATCTTGGGAGAAATTGTTAATTGTTCCCTACTTTCATGAAGTAGAGAGGGAGAGCTGAAACCATTCCTTTTCTGTTATGATTGTGGCCCTATAGATAGCTTCTTTTTAGAAGTTGGACTTAATCTATCAGCAGTGGCTTTCTGAGAGCTCTTCTGAACATTTCTGAAGAGTATTTGGTGATCTGGCATAGGTTTAGACCATTTAGATTTTTGTTAGTTGCTGTAGTACAATGTTATTAGTTTGACATAAGTATTTTCTTGTATTTACCATGGATACTTTAATTATATTATAGAAGTTTTAAGTTAGGTAACATTGTTAACTGCTAGGTGTCATTTGAAGATATGGCAGTATTTAGCAATACAATACAATACAATACAATACATAAATAAATAAATAAAATTTTACATAAAATATTGCCCATAGAGCTAAACTTTTTCAAAATTTGTTCCTGGTACCTCATTTCAGTAAAACAGACAATAATCTGAATGAGACTTTTCAGCCACAGACCAATCTGGATAGTCTTTGGTAAGATTAAATATCAGGCAGCACATTCCTTGGTCCATAAGACAAAAATTAAGAGCAAGCTAAGATATCACATATTACCATAATTTAAAGATCACAGGTTTAGAAATGAATTAACTATTAATTTGGAACATTCATCTCAGAGAGGTATACACTTCTGATAACGATTTCCCCCCAATATTTGTCTCTATACAGTTGGGTCTCAGTATATTTTTCTGCCCCTAATACTATCCACCTTGTTTCATATCCTACCCATGTTTTACAGACAAGACCATATTAGCTGATTGACTTCACTTTCAATTTCAGTTGAAATTCTATATACAGTGGTACCTCGGGTCACGAACGCTTCTGTTCATGACCAATTCGGGTCACGAACAGCTCCATTTGCAAAATTTTGCCTCTGTTCGCGAACGCCGAATCGGGTGACGAACAGGATCCGTGGCCATTTTCCCTTCCATGACACGTGGTCGTGGCTTCCTGTAGGGAGGGGGACTTTCCCTCCAAGCAATAACCGCCTCCCCACCCGCCTTCCTGTCCTCCACGCCAGAAGTCGCGTCGAGCAAGGTTAGCGTTCTCTCTCTTTGTATTGTATTTTGTTTCATATTTTTGCGGTTTTAAAAAAAACAAAACACATGGTTCAGAACGGATTAACCATAATTACATTGAACCTTATGGGGAAATTTGATTCGGGTCGCGACCAATTCGGGTTGCAACCAGAGTCATGGAACAAATTAAGTTCGTGAACCAAGGTACCACTGTACATTTTCCTGAAAGAAAAGTTAATTAAACTCAATAGGATTCACTTCTGAATAGATACAGTACATAGGACTGTACTTGAAGTTTCCTACTGGAGCATTGTGAAACTGTGAGTTTACTCTTGTGAAAAGAGTTTTATTTTAGATATATATTTATTTTATTTAAACTCTACTTATTTGCTTAGACAAGCAGTCAACACAGGATTATTGTATCTGGGATGGATGATCACAATGGCAACAAAGAGTTAGAGTTTTTTTGTAACATTTTGATGCCATTTAGTGTACTTGGCTCAAAGATGGAAATTCTAAATTAAGGCTGTTTATATCAAGAAAACAAAATACAAAATATGACAGTAAGATCAATACTATTCAAATGGAATTGAGTCATTAAAATCAATTAACAGTTAAAATCTTGGTGAAATAAATGTGTTTTTGTTATTTACCTAAATACTGGGAGAGTGTGGGTCAAATGTAGCTCTATGGCATTCCAATGTCTTAGGGTTAAATTAGAGAAAACCTTTCTTCCATGTCAAATAACTGAGCTTTTGGAGTAGAGGCATCTTCAAAAGGATTTCTCTTGCTAGTTTAAATAACTGAACAGATTAATTGCAGGAGAGGCGATCCCTAAGATGGTATTTAGGGCTTTAAAGGCCAAAAACAACCCTTAAGTTATGCCCAGTAGGCAGTGTAGGTCTTTCAGGACAGCTGTCTATAATCTGTATACATTACATTGGCTGGCAGTCTGGTTGCCTCAGGTTTGTACCATTTGAATTTCTGGAGAATTTTCAAGGGTAGCCACATGTTGAGTGCATTGCAGTAGTAAATATGGATTTTAACTAAGGCATGGGTAACTGTTACCAAGTCTGCCACCTCAGGAATTAGTGTACTAGCCATAGTTGTGCAAATGCTTTCCTCACCACATACAAGTCAATGATAGCTAGGGATCAAAAAGCAAACTCAAACTGCAAACCTGCATTTTCTGTGGTATTGCAACCCCATCCTAAAAAGGATGTATGTCAATCCCTGAGTTTGGTTTTCTCCTTTCTCAACAATTCTGTTTTCTCTGGATTTAATTTCAGCTTATTTTCCCTCATTCAATCCATTAGAAACTAAACAGTATTGAAGGATACCAATTGCTTTCTTGGGGTTAGATGGTACCACATCACTTTGAGTTCCAAGTGATCTCCCCAGGGGTTACACAGCATGGGGGACAAGATAGAACTCTGTGGAACAGCATAGATCAACAATTTAGGTGTTGAACAAGAGTCCCCCAGCATCAAATTTGGAACATATCCATCAGGGAAAAGCTGGAGCCATTGCAAAACCC